GATTTTAATTCTTGAGATAATTGTTTCCTCCTTAAATCTGCAAGCAGACATATAACCATTAGTTTGCTGTATTAGTCTTGGTGAACAGCAAAACAACAATTGCTGTATTTGGAAAGTGTAAAGCACATTATGCAAAATGAAAGGCACATTATGTCCTCCTTCTGCTGCCTAGGAATATGTGAACTACAGTCCAATCCAAGTTAGGATAAGGTTTCCTATGACCCTTAATGGACTTTGAGTGAGCAGAATTGCCCTTGTCATATAAGGATCCATAGATTCCTAGCTGCGCAATAAGACCCATAAAAGAGCATGCAGAAGTTAACATAATATATTCAGAAATTGGGACACTTCCTGTTCCAAGCTGCTTAATAGCGCCACTTCCTCTACATGGTTTTACCTCATCTTCCTTTCCTCTCCAGTTTATTTATAGGAATCAACACTCTTACAGCAGGTCGTGACTTGCTTGAAACTGGATTGTCCAAGGGACTATACCTATACCATAGCTGTTTCCTATGGGGAATTTCAGCTCCTGTGTCTAATCCCTTGAAAAGTCTATCCTAGCTTCCTGGTTTGTGATCTCCTACAACACCTGCATGACAACACAAAGGTTATGTCATGCGTGATGACTTCCCTGTTACTTCACCATGGTAGCAACGGTTACTGAGTTGTCTTAAACTCTTGTTTTGCATGTAAGACCAAGTAGCCTGAATATAGCTGGCCTCACCTGACTTCAGAAGCTAAGTATGGCCAGGACTGGTTAGTACTTGAATGGAAACCCACCAAAGATTACATTGATTTCCATCTTGCCTGAAATCGTGGAGAACCGCTGGCAATGAAGTAACAATGCAGGTGTTGATTGGCCAATGCCCCTATGTTCTTCACCTTCTGGATATTTCCTTTTAACCAATACTATACTGTATCTCACTTGAATGGATGAAAACAGCAATGGAAGGAGGGAGTCACAACACAATGGAAGAGCACCTGCTTGCACTCATAAACTCCTGACCACAGTTCTTGTCATCTCTCGGTAAAGGATCTCTGGATCTACAAACATGAAAAGATCTCTACCTGAGGAAGCTTGGGGAGCCATGGCTGGTCCAAGTTGAGAATGTACTAGCTAAATAGACCAGAGTAAGTCAGCTTCACACATTCCTTTGTAAGCCGACAATGTGACAATACAATGCTTGTTTTTAGTGAATCTTCCCCCTTTAACGGTACAGTCTTGTGCTCTCTTATTCAGAGGTCAGTTCTGTTGCGTTCATTGTAGTGCACTTGCAGGTATGTCTGCACAGGACTGTAACACGTCAGAGTAGTGTAGTGAGAGGCAACTATCAAAAAACTATACTAGCACCTGTTTGCATAAAACAGAAAGAGGGATGTGTTAAATGATTGTATATTATGGATTTTGCAGGCTGAATGTGTACTGATGAAGCATTCTACAAATTGCAAATATTCAAAGGAGCCACAGGATCATTTATTCATTTCATGGTTCCCAAATACGATGTATCTCCTGTAAAGTTTTGATTACTGGACTTCAATTCCCAGCCATTCTATTCTGCAAATTAACCATGTGTTCTTTATAGTTTCATATATTTTGTGGTATATTCAAGTAGATGGGGTAGACTGTTGTGTCTTGTGCCTTATATGTGCATGGTTCAAGTAATGATGATTACAAATAATATTTCAGACACACTTTTACAAATATCAATGCAATGTCCATGAAGTAAAGATGGATTCTGAAAATGTAGTAGATAAAAAATGAAAATGTAACAGTGTAAAACTGTTACACTAAGCAGCTGTAATTCTTCCAGAATTTGTTTCACTATCTCTCTTGTATGTGTTTAATTCATATTATCTTCCAGATTTTCAACTATCTGCAGTCTGTCTGTCCCTTTTTTTTTAAAATAAAGTGAGACATTATTTAATTTTTTTGCTAAGCAGGAAAGAAATTTTCTAGGGAAGCCATAGTACAGCGAAGGAAGAGGAGACTGACAGATGGCACGATAGCCATCTTGTTTGAAGGACTGTCATATAGAAGAGGGAATAAGCTTATTTTTGGGTGGCTCTGGAGGGTTGAACCCAAACTGAGAAATTCAAATGGTAAACAAGGAGATTCTGTTTAAACATTACAAAGAATTTTCTAAATGACTCTTGGAATCCCTTCCAACTCTACCATTTTATGATTCCTTACCATAAATAATATTCCAGTTGCAGGACAAGCCTGCTGTATTCAGAGGGGACATTTTTGTATGATGAATTTTATAATTACTTGTAATGATGCATGTTTTGAACTCAAGCCTAATTAAATAGTACATGCTTACCTTTTTTCCAGCTTTCAACTTAAGTTGTTCCTTAAAACAATGTGCAAAAGTAAGATCAAGCAATGTACTTGAGCAGTGAAATATTTTTTCCCACATTTCATGTTTCCCCAGGCCCATGGAATGGGCTTTGTAGTGAAATCCCCATATTTTGGTAAACCAGTGTGATTTGCAAAACTGTGCAAGCAAGAGCAAATGATCTTTGAAAAAGAAGAATCAAAAAAGGGAAGAGATGGTTCGGGGTTTGTTTAGGGGTAAGTACTGTAATGGGCATAAACAGCTGGTGTGAAATTCTCTGATGATTGCTCAGCTACCCTTTCCTGTCTCTACAAATCCCAACAGAATAGGAACAGAGCTACAGGTTTAACATAGTTACACAACATGCTGATATCAGAAGAAGACATTTAAAGGCTCCCATTCTTTAAGCAGGTCATTAGTAGGAGGTTCCCTTGGATTCTAGGCTAAAATAAACATAAAATTACCACAGGGAAGCTGGGGAAGAGCCTGGGAAACTATAAGTCCTCTTTTGAGTGATGGAGCACGCCACCAATTTTCAGTGGTTTTTGAGAGGCACTGCCTCAGAGCTGCCAGCCAAACTGGAAAACTAGCCCTTAAACCACCGCCTCCCCTCCCAATACTGCCCAGCCTGACCTAGAACAAGAACAAGAACAAGAAGATGTGCTTGTAGCGCTATGGGGTGGTATATAAGATGTGGTGATAAATGGCATGTTCTGAGTGGGGGAAATGCATTAGGTTAAGAGAAAAAGAGTTACAAAGGCAATTACAGTTTGGTTAAGATCAGAGGAAAGCCTTATCACAGCCTTTGTGTTAAAAAAATTGGGAGGTTGGGTTGCTTGAAAGAATCTCAAGTAAATGGATCTGTAGTATGTGGTGGATGAGGCACAGGAAGAAGAAGAAGAAGAAGAAGAAGAAGAAGAAGAAGAAGAAGAAGAAGAAGAAGAAGAAGAAGAAGAAACAGCCATCATTTTTCTGAAAGAAAAGCAGGCACCCTCTCATTTTCACCTGCCTAAGCTTCTCCCTGCACATGTACACTTTTTAGTGGGCATATGCCAGTTCAGGACATAAGGAGAATAAACATTTTGTCTCAGTCCACGAAGCCGCTTTATCTGACCTGGAAAAGGGAAGATTAGACGCCATTATAGCCATCTTTGAACATGGAAAAGGAAGTTTTCTGCTGCTCTGGACCCCAGCCAGAGGATTCAAAGGGCCAGCGCGAGTGAGAACTTCCTAATAGGGAGACTTGTTCAGCAGGGGACTGGACTACCTAGGAAGGTGGTGGCCTCTCTTTCAACAGAAGGTTTTTGAAGAGAAGTTGGGTGGCTGTTTGTCAGCGATTTTTTTCAGCTGTGCATTCCTGCCTAAGCAGGGGTTGGACTCCATGAACCCTAGGATCCCTTCCAACTCTACCGTTCCACGACTGGCATTGTTTCCCATACTGTATTTGCCAGCCAGATGCCAATGGGGCATCCATAAAAAGGACGTAACCCCACCCCCACCCCCACCCCCCCACTTGTGCTCCCTAGCAAGGGCATATATATAGCCAATACAACTGCTCTGTTATTAACCTGACCTTAACTTCCACTTTTTGGTAAACTTAAATCGAGTATCACAACGGATCTGCTCGTGCTTCCTGTAAAAGAGAAGATATTGGCGCACACCGGCAGTATTTAGGACACGGACCCTCTCTCCACCCCATTCAGGGGAGAGGCTGCCTGTAACGTTTGCTCCGGTAATGCAAATACTCTTTGGCAAGACGACTATTCATTTGTTTATCGCGTTTACACTCCACCTTTCCTTCAACGCTTCTCCCGAGCCTTTTTTTTATCCTAACGACAGTCCTACCGGGTAAGTTAGGCGCACAGCCTAGTCTGCGGCCGGCCAGTACCTTTCATTCGGAATCCGCGTCTGACCCTGGATCTCCCCAGCCCTAATCCAGCTCGCTAAATGCTACAGCACTTCGGCTCTCCTCATTCCCCAGATCTCTCCAGAACTCCAAGCGGTGACAACAGGGGACCTGGTTCGAGGTAACTGGGCATTGCAGAGCGAAAAGGTTATGGACTAAGCGGGCAGCTCTCCGCCCACCCCATAAGGTGCTCAGGACCGGCCTGCGGGGTGTGTGTGTGTGTGTGTATGGGGGGCATTGTGCGCGAATTTGGCCACACCGGCTTCGCGACGACCCGTGGGCTCGGGCACCTGGCCCTTTTCCGGGTCTCGCCCGTCCTTCCTGCGGAGTGATCTCCCTTTCCCTCCCCGCCACGAAGGGCGGGGCAAGCATCCTCCCGCACCCCCGGCCCGACCTCTCGATCTCTAACTTTCCAGGGAGCCAGCGTGGCCTCCGGGGTCAGGTGCCAAGCCAGAGGAGGCTCGGTGGCTCCCCCCCCCAGCCCCGTACTGGACGGAGCCCACGCTCTCCGGGCACTAGCCTGGGACATCCCGGAGCAATTGCAACCGCTGCGCAGAAGCCGCGCCGGCAGCGCCATTGACGGGCGCCAGGATCAGCGGCGGCAGTTCCTGCTCCGAGCTGTCCCAGCGACCTGATTCTGTCCGTCTCTTTCTTTCCGTGTGTGTGTGTGTGTGTGTGTGTCCCTCCTTAGCAGCCGATTGGCTGGGGGGCGCTTGACGTCACAATTAGGAGTTCCTATAAACTCCCCTAAACATAACGGGCTCCGGACAAGTTCGGAGGACTCTGGCTTCCCTGCGAGGAGGCGCGCCGGGCGGGAGCCGACCGATGCCGTCGCGGCCGCAGGCTGCAGGAGGCGCGCCGTCCCCTCGAGCCCCGCGCGCACTTGCCAAGCCTGGCTCTTCTCCCGAGCGCCGGCAGCAACTGGGAGCCCAGCGCCTGCGGGGGTGAGGCGGCCCGGGACTCGCAGTCCGGCGCGCCGAGAGAGAGGGAGAGAGGGAGGGAGGGGGCCGACGACCGCCGAGCCTCCGCCGCGCCAAAAGCGGGAGCGCACGGGCTTGCCGACGGCCGGAGCAGCGGCCGAGAGGATCGGGACTTCTCCACAGCTGCCCGGCAGCGCTATGGAAACGGTGAGCGCCACCACTTCTTTGCACCCCACCCTCAGCGCCAATGGCAGCAGCAGCAGTAGCGGCGACCCAAACCCGGGCAATTCCACGGCATCCGAGGAAGGCTGGGTGGTGGGCATGGGTATCCTGATGTCCGTGATCGTGCTGGCGATCGTCTTCGGCAACGTGCTGGTGATCACCGCCATCGCCCGGTTCCAGAGGCTGCAGACGGTCACCAACTACTTCATCACATCGCTGGCCTGTGCGGACCTCCTGATGGGCGTCGGGGTGATCCCTTTCGGGGCCAGCCACATCATCCAGCGCACCTGGAAGTTCGGGAACTCCTGGTGTAACATCTGGACCTCCATCGATGTGCTGTGTGTCACCGCCAGCATTGAGACGCTCTGTGTCATCGCGGTGGACAGGTACTTTGCCATCACTTCCCCTTTCAAGTATCAAAGCCACTTGACCAAGAATAAAGCCAGGGTGGTCATCTTGTTGGTTTGGGTCATCTCTATCCTCACCTCCTTCTTGCCTATCCAGATGAACTGGTACAAAGCCAACACGCAGGAAGCCGAGCAGTGCTACCAAGACGAGAGCTGTTGTGACTTCTTCATCAACGGGGAGTACGCCATCATTTCTTCCATCATCTCTTTCTACTTGCCCCTGGTGGTCATGGTGTTTGTCTACGGCAGGGTCTTCCAGGTTGCCCAGAAGCAGCTCAAGAAGATAGACAAGTGCGAGGGGAGGTTTCACCAGCAAAGTTCACAGCAGGAGCAAAACTCTGGGAAGGGAAGCCACCGGAGAGCATCCAAGTTCTGCTTGAAAGAACACAAAGCTCTGAAAACCCTGGGCATCATCATGGGCACCTTCACCTTGTGCTGGCTCCCGTTCTTTATTGTCCACTTTGTGCATGCCATTGATGAGACAGTGATCCCCAAATTCCTGTACATTTTTTTAAACTGGCTGGGATATGTCAATTCGGCTTTTAACCCCTTAATTTACTGCCGGAGCCCAGACTTCAGGTATGCTTTCCAGGAGATCCTCTGCTTCAGGAGATCTGCCCTCAAAATGTATATGAACGGATATTCCAGTAGCAATGGGAAAGCTGACTTCAATGGGGATCACAATGGCTATCACGTGGCACAAGAGAAGGCCCATGAATTGTTGTGTGAAGAAGGAAGCCCCCCTCCTGGGGAGGACTTTTTGCACTGTAAAGGTACTGTGTTGCATGATAACATTAGGTCACAGGGGGCTGAGCATAGCCCAGATGACTCCTTGTTAGCATGATTGTTATTGTCCCTATAGAGACACTTAAACAGGGAGTAGAAGATAGTGGCTACATGGGCAACTACAACTGAATGGAAGTTTACTCCAGATGTGGGAGGTGTCCCATGCTGGCTTATTGGCAGGCTATGAAAAGCATTCAAGGAAGGGCATCTTTGGATGTGTGTCTGTCTACCCATATTAGAATGCTTTCGTCTATTGAGAGTTAAGCCACAGCTGAAGCTGCCCCACAATGCAGTTTTCTGCTAAAGTGTAGTTTCATCTACCTCACAGATGTAAGAGTAATATTGCTCAGAGCTGCTGTTTCTAAAGGTGAAATGCCTGCACTCCGGAATGAATTTGGTGCTATTAATGGCTCACCCTTTCATCTGATGCTAGCTCTAAAGATTGCTCTAAGACAGGACATTAGGGTTGCTTGTACATGCTTTAGGAATACTGTAAAGTCAAGTGTTTACGATATATATTATTGTCCATAGTGGCAGAATTGCTTGAACATGTTCTTTGCAGCATTTGGCTGTTCAAGTCCTTGGCACAGGGAACGTCCATAGTGCGGGAATCAGTGCAAAGATGAACTGAAACTGTTGACATTGGAACAACCAACAGCCCTTTTGGTGCCTTTTCATTTGAGACCTACCTTTGTTTTCTACCTAGACAATGCCAGTGTTCAGCTTGTTTTCATTAGCCAGAACTGTACAAATCCTAGATAGTTATGTAGTTGTGAAACCAAGACTCGTATGTCTAGAGTTGCTTGGTGCCAAAACCGACTCACCTTCCTTGCCCATTTCTTAGATCATACCTGTACAGATAATCTGTGGGTATCTGTCTGGGCTTGGGCTCAATGTTCCATATTTAGAATCCTGACAGACAAAACACTTTCTCTCGAATAGCACAGAACTGGTGTAGATTCAGCCTCCTTTAAAATAATATATATATTATCCCAAACTTTATGCTCCTGTTGACCATAATCCATTTGTCGCTTGAGAGTAAAGTTTCTGCTACCCTGTAAAATAACATTTCCCCCCTAATGACGGAGAGACTTAAGTACCCGCTTACGCCCATGATTTTGTTTGCCCTCCTCTGACTTAATAGTCCAGTCATGAGAGGAAGGTAAAGGTATTTCTTGCTCACAGCAGCAGCGCTCTACTGGGTTTGGGTCAGCCTGTGGTTGCAAACAGTTCCCATTTAAGGACCTTGGCTAATTGGTTGTGCAGCAATTTTAAAGCATTAAGGTGCTTAAGTTATAACAACACAGTAAAAGTCCCTTCTTTGGAAATGCTATTTTTTTCTATTTGGCTCAAATGCAGGGCACTCAAAAGAACCTGCAGGCAATGAATTCTGGAATAAAAATAGGATTGATCTGGGTCATTTGTATTATATTGCAAAATTAGTACCCAGTGTGCTTGATGCTCTTGCTCTGCCTCCTCCCTGCTGGGAGGTTTATAAGCTATATAAAGGGCTTGTGTGTAGTCATTAGCATTTTAGGTTCACTGACTTGTACTAAATAGCTGTTTCCCGGTACCCTATCAGATTATGCCATGTTAGCCTTGATCAAGACAACTTTCGTTTTCTACTGTTCTGTGGTATTTGAATCTGAAATATGCCACATATGTATTGCATGACAATGTGCAAAAATAACCAGTCTTGATGTCTTTCGACAAATTTGCCCAGATTGCAGAGATGGAAAGCACCGTGCCGCATAACAGTCTTGTCCCTATTCTCCAAACCTCCATTCTCTGATCTGAGTGATGGACGTGGTTCATGTGTACTTTGGTCTCCAGTACTAGAAGAACTGGCCCTTCCTTCCTTCCTTCCTTCCTTCCTTCCTTCTTTTCTAGGTTCTCCGTCTTTGGGCTGGGCTCCCGCGCTTACCTCCACTTCTGTGCCTTTGCCCACGCGGTGGACACTCGCCTGGAGGAGCTGGGCTATAGTCTTCTATGATGCCAAAAACCTGCTCCATAGGGTTTCCAAGCCCACTGGAACAGGTTTTTAGGGGGCATAGGAGCCGGAAGAATGGGTGCATGCAGTGTTCACAGATTCTGGCAGAATCCAGAACAAGTATCCCAGACTGGATTCTGAGTCATGGATTGCAGCTGCCTTTATATAAGAAAAGGGGAAAATTTAAAAGAGAACTTCACTGATTTATTAGGATACCAGAGAAATATAATGTTCTTGAAATGTTTTTAAACCCCTTTGGTTTCACGTTGGTAACTGAGCTAAGGAGGCATAGGGAGTTTCTGGAAATGCAGGAATAACCTGCCAGAGACCATTCAGTTCTGGTTTAAAAAGTGTGTGTATGTGGGAAGTGTGCACATGCATCTTGACTGGGCCAGCAAACATTGCTAGTCTGCCACGTGAGTGGGTGTATATGCCCCGCCTCACCTGATTGCAGATCATGATGCTGCTCTATGTCATACACAAGCCCATATTTCTAAGGAGAAGTTTGACTGCACTCCCTCCCTTGGCACAGAGCTCCCTCCTCTGGCAATCATAATGTAGCTTCCCCCCTTTTTTTAAATTTAAAAATGCACTGGCAGGGGAGAGGAAGAGGCAAAAGAAAAGAGGCATGTTTTCTCACACTGGGAAGACTTGTTGCAACAAAACAGATGATTCATTAAGTTTGTAGTTGAATTGAATCAGCATTTCTGCATTTTTTGGAAACAGTTTCAAGATGTTCTCGAAATGTTGTACAATTCTCTATGAAATCAGCCTAGAGCTGATTATGGGAGGAGGAAAACAAACTCTAAAGTTATGTACTTTAGTGAAAGGATATAACTGAATTTTAGGGAAGTGCCCCAGGAAGTGCCTCTCCCAAGCACTGTACATGAGGTTACTCCAACCTTTCAGAACCTGTTTGCTTGCTGCTGTCAGTCTTAGAGAGAGAGAAAAAAAAAGGAGATCCTTTTCCTAGAACTGACAAAACTGAAATACAGGAGCCGTTGGAGCCCAGTCACCACTTGCACGGTTGTTGCCCAGTTGATTTGGTCTGTTAGAGGGTTTGTGTCATGCTGGTCACCAGCTCTCCGGGGTTGTCAAATGGGAACCTGATAGTCAGACAGGAGTGAACAGGTGAAGGAAAAAAGAGGGAGTAGGGGGTGTGAGGTGGGTAAAAGGCCAGGCTCCTATGCTTGCTACAGGGAGAAAAGTGAAGTTCTAAAGGCAGGATCTTTGGTGGTAGCATGACGTCAAACAAGTAAGCAGATGAACCGAGCAATCACTGTTCTTCATTTTATAATTATAAATATAATTATCTGCTCCATCGGTACCATATTGATTTATTTTCAGATCCTTGTTGAGCAGAAGGCGTCTACATCTTGTACAAGGTAGTGGCCCATTTTCCATCCATGTTTGTCCGTCCATTTGCATGTAGCATTTTTATTATTCCCCCCTTTAGTGTTTGGATTGCAGACTCGAGACCTTTGCAACTGTTCTGGAGTTATGAACTATTTTGAGCTCCTCAAGAGATGTGTGTTCCCACTGTTGTGAACGTTGGAGAAAGTGAAAAGAGGGAAATGCCCCTTGTTTTGGTTTTATATTTATTGACAAGCTCTTCAATCAGCCATCTCGGTTCCTCTTGTCCACCACTTTTAGTGGGGTTAGTGTACTAAGTGTCAGCTTCACTGAAACTGGTTTACTTAACGGGGGGGGGTGTTGTCGGTGGGGGGGGGGGGGAGGGGACACCCTGAGGTGAAACTAAGAATTGGATTTAGGCCTAAGTATCTGCCTTGTACTTTGAATGTATTGGTTTAGATTTCTTTGCACGAAGAACTATCCGGTGATGGTGTATCTCGTCCTGCGAGCAGCCCATTAACAATATTTTCATTGCTCTTTGAGAATTCTAATGGGAAGTTTTATAGAATAGCGCCTTGATGAGGAAAACATTAGGAAAGAAAATAACATGTTCTGCTTTTCAAAAAAGAGAGGGGAGCTGCTTACAAGCTCTTATAATCTCACCTCATTAAAAGGAGGTCAAAGCACTTTACCTCTATATACTGTATGTCCGTGTGTTTGTGTGTATATCATTACATATAAATATACTATTTTCTTTATTGTCTGAAGCATTGCAATTTCAAGCTAAATATTTTAAACAGGTTTTTATAAAAGCAATGGCAGTTGGGTGTTGGTAAGGGGGAGAAATCTGCACTTTGCTATGAAAATTGGTATTTATTGTTTTCATTTGGGTGGTTCATGACGTCTGCAGGACAGACACCTCAATGCGGGGCAGGGGAAGAGGACTGCATCAGTTCTCAGAACAAGAACCTGATCCTACAATGGACTGTTAAATTAATGGCAAGTGTATAAAATGTGTTGTGTTGACCAAAATGAATCCTCTGACGAAGAGCTGTTTGTGCTCAAAATACATTTGGGACCTTTGTTTTGTACATATTAAAGCACTGATTGTACTTTCCGTGGTTTTACACTTGAGTTTTTTGCTTAGCAAACACCACAGTGGGCATAAACACACTTCACTAAACCTGATGCATTTTAATTTGACTCCTGCTTCACGCAACACTCCTGTGTTAGAAAATGCAGACCCAGACCCTTCTGCGATTACCTCCTTTGGCTGAGCTGTCAAAAAAGTCGGCGAAGTTTGTGAAAGAGGCTGTTTTGCAGTTCATGCAGCATTTTGTTCTTTGCAAAACTTCCTCCTCTCACTTTACCACCACAACTGAGCATTTGTGAAAATGAGGCTTGCACGAAGCAGAGCTCTATATGAGTTCCCATACCAGAATGCACCTTCATAAACTTTCAACTTGTGTCCTCTCATGCTCAAGGTTTGTTTTTATTCAGGCTGAGTTATTAAGGGAGTGAAAAGCCCTGCCCTTCCTGAATCTGGATGCAAGAGGAAGGACATACTGCTTCAAGCTTTGGAGGGGAAGTGTTGTGGGGGGAGAAGGAGAGAGAAACTGACAGCCCTTCTTTCCATTTTGGAAC